CAATGACCCTTTTATTTACATTATGAGGTTAACGACCCTTTTGTTTACATTTTGCCGAGGTCAATGAACTCTTTGTTTACATTTTATTAGGCCGATGATCCTTTTGTTTAGATTTAGCCAAGTCCACAACCTTTGTTTACATTATAAGGTCAATGGCTGAATATCGTGAATAAATTACAATCAAATTTGGTATCTTATATATATTGAAGGTGTTTTAGTTCGCATCAGCTAAAATTATATTAAAAACATCTTAAAATGAGATTTATGTCTGTGATTTAACTCAACGAAAGACTTTAAATTTAATATATTGAGTTATTAGAGGAAACGTCAACCATTTTAATTTTATTAAAGTATCACACATTTTGAACAACTTGAAGGGTTTACAGTCAGGTGGTAGAACGGAAATAATTATATGGGGGTACACTGAGAGCAGAGAAAGGGACAAGCTGCTTGCATTAATTTTGGTTAAAAAAACGAAATTCATTATATGTAATACATATATGGGAGTTGAGGTAGTATTGACCCGATTTTACCTTTTTTTGCCAATACCACATACTATTAAAATGCCACGTACTAATAAAGTGCTACCCGGGTTTCATTAAGATACCTCACATACCATACTCAATCTATATGGAGCCGGTCAGCCGGTTGTTCGAAAATTTCGATATTAGTTATATAAGAGCTAAGTCAAGTTTTCATCCAATTTTAGGCACAAATCCGATTTCCTCCATTTTTGCACTAATTGGAATCGGTACTCTGGCGAAATATTCTTAAATTTGAGCACTAGAGTTCGAAGCTCGAAACTATTGTCCCTTTCCAATTTCACAATGAGCTCGCCATCCATTGATTTGTGAGGTATCACGCCGTTGCTTGGCGGTCAGTTTAGTTAATATTTTCATGCTTGTTGCCACACTCTGAGTTTTCAACGCGCGTACTTTTTTACTGCGCTTAACTGCAAACATAGAAGCATAAAAATCATGTATGTGTATGTGGGTCGCGGCATTTGTTGTAATCCTTTTGCTTGCAAAGCGGCTACTACTTTCGAGCTCTCAACGAGCGATGAGCGTTCTTCAGGCTCAGTGAATATCCGGGACAAATGGTTACAGACTCGTTTACTCAGTCAATGTTTTTGTATTGAATTAAACGAAAGCTCTTAATATTCTCAAACACACACATATACTCACACAGTTATATGGTACATATGTAAAAATATGTGGATGCGGAAAAACTCTAATTGACTTATCCGATTCGTTTGAGAAGCGAAAGTGCCAGCGTTGTTGCCCAATAGAGTCCATAAATATTAATGTAAAAGAACATAAATAATCTACAAAATTGAAATTAGTCAGTTTTGGTGGAACTTAAAAGCCGATAAACTGGCTTTAAGTTACATAAGAAAAAATTATTTTGCTTATGACGGCAGACGCTCTAAAAATATCAAAGGAAATAATTATACTACATGGCGTTCATTAATATTTTGGTACGCAAGGCTCTGTACGCAGTAGGTCATACATGAACTTAAGATTGGGGCTATCCCACAAAACTCAAATCTTGAAAATAATGGCAGAATTGCATGAATTTGTGCTTCGAATTGCGTCCGCATCCTCCATATTAGCTGGAACTGGCGCCAATAGACTTTTTGCTATCCGCAGACCTCGCGAGAAGCTCGCTGGAGGCAATCGCTGAGACTGTGCCTATTTTGAAGCAAAATACGAATCGTACGACCAAAATGGTGTGGAGAAATTATAAGTATGCTACAATGGTTGTGCCGCCCTCGGTGACAACTATGTCAAAGAATATAATCGACTTTTGCCTGACATATTGGAGTTAACCATTCTGTTTACTTATTGCAGATAATTAACAAAAATATATCCCTGTAACTTTGCCACACACCGCTAACCCTCGCCAGTGGAGCGAGCGTAGCCTACAAACACAAAGCCCAACAAACATTTGATGCCATTGGCTACAGATAACAGTTAGTTTGAAATGGAAATTACAATTGTGGCAGCATTCGCCAAAAGCAGCGGCATTCGCAACTTTGTATCGCATTCGATTTCAGTTCGACATATTCACACACGCGGACAAAGTTCGACGGTGACACAGTTTGCGATTCGCGTTTTCACCAATTATTGATGTTTTGTCTGCCCGCATATGTGCAAGTAAGTATGTATGTGAGCTAAAGGGAAAACAATACTCGAGTATCAAACTGCATTCTGAAATATGCATATGTTTGTTCGTGCGTATGTTCCATGTGGATGAGCTTAATTACATAAGAAATGGTCACCTCAATGTGTAGCTAATTACCAGAGATGACCGCAGGTCTGCCATTTGTGATTTGTGGTGGAAATTTCGGCAAAAGCGCAAAGCTGGCAGCACAAATACTCACTGATGACGCTCCCGCCATCACGTTGTGACAGGCTTTTGATTCAGCGTAAAAATTACATTATAATTATCTAACTGTAATTATCTTACAGTTCAATATAATATGCATACCATGTATAAGTATGTATCATAGTATGAAATTATGTGAAGCAGAGAACTTTCTCATGCCTAAAATTAGGTTGGCAACAAAAGGCTTAATGGAGCATATTTAGATTTTAGAAATTTGAGGTCCAACTAAATTTAATTACAGCACCGCTAATCAAAAATTAAATAATAAAAAGTGAATAAAAACCAATGCTTTTTTCCATAAATGAAACAGTGTTGAACACACATATACTATCTCGTATAACAATGTCAATAGCGCAATGATGAGAGCGTGAAACATTAAATAATATTTTTATTTGTGCAATGTCAACCTTTGTCCGGCTGTGTGGCTCCCCTCGCATATTACATAAATGCAAATTTACCGTTTTTTATTCAAAAGCTTGTAATTGCTTTATTAATTACCATTGAACCCGCTGCACTCGTCCAACTCGCTGGCAATCAGAGCATTTCACTATCATTTGCTGTTGTTTTTGCAATTTCGTTATTAAAGTACTTTACATGGTCAGCACACTCGTTCAGCTGTATGTGTGTGAGTATGTGTTTGCTCCATTAAATCAATTAAGTGCGTTTCCAATGCAAATCGAGAGAAACAATATGAAATCTGATTAAAATTCATTTTTTTTGCCACTGCAGTAGCTGACCGCGGCGCTGCCGATACTCACCTGGCGATGCAACAATTCAGTGCAATTGGGTTGGCGCGTGTGTATAATGAAGTACGTGTTTGTGTTGGTGTTGGTGTTGCTGTAAACAAATGAACTTTGCGTTCGCCGTTGAAGACCTCAATTTATGGTGGAGCGCCTGCAGCAAAATCACGTAATATGTGTCACCACTTTCCATTGCAACGTGCAACAAGCCATAAACAATAACAACAACAAGTGCATTTGAAAAATATTGAAACAATAGTAGCATGATCTACATATATACACATACCCATATGAAGCCATGTTGATAGGCCCACAAATAATTTAATTAAATTCGACGAAAACAAGCAATAATAAATCAAGAAAGAAAAGAACAAGAGCACAAAACAAACGAAGTAAATAACATTTTCCAAAGTAAACTTTTATTGGATTTTACTCACTTTTATCGGCAATATTCACTTTGTTAACGCAGCTCTCTGAATACGAGTGTGTGGGTGTGTGTGTTGAACTGTGGGCTTGTATGCCTTCTAATTCTTATTAATAATGGCTGCATACATATGTTTGGGTGAGCAAACCGATGGGCGGCCGTTTTTGTGAAGGAAAGCGCTGACACTCAATTTGTTTGCAATTTGCTACTTCATCGGCGTCAATCAACCGCTGTAACATCTGTGCCTGCTACATTTACTCAACGCTAGCCAAGTTTTACAAGTCACACATGCAATACTGTTATTTCTCGGCAGAAGAGCTTCAAACTAGTTAGAAGAAGTACTTAAAAGAACTAGAATTTCTTTGGTGAGAACGAACTGGTCCGAAAAAGTACAGATTTGTTTTGATGGTAATGCGATTTTTTAATGAGTTATATTCGTTGAATTCGTTGATTTATGGCAATTAACTACAACGGATATAATAATGATAATTCATATTTAGTTTGAGAAATTTGTTGTTGTTGCATATAATACTACTTTTTTTTGTATATCATTTATCAGGCTAAACTTTTAATTTCATTCCTCAATTGAAGTACATGCGGAACCTGTGAGAGACTTGTAGGCTTCTGAGAATTGATATTAGCGAGACTTCGCATTGTAAAAAATAACGGTTTCTCTCAGTCAAAACTATTACAAAAAAAGAAAAAACGTTAACTTCGGTAGCATCGAAGCTGTAATACCCTTCACAAATACAAAAGATTACTTATAAAATCTTGATTTCAATCATTCTGTTTATGTGGCAGCTATATGCTATAGTTGTCCGATATCGGGGGTACCAACAAATGAGCAGATTTTTGGGAAGCAAAGGGCGTGTGTACAGTTTCAATATCGCAGAAACTGAGAGACGTATATATAAACACACATAGGCAGACAGACATGGCTAAACTAACTCAGCACATGCTGATCACTTATATATATGTATTTATTTAATAGGATCTCCGATGTTTCCTTCTGGGTGTTACAAACCTCGTGTCAAGCTATATTAAGTACACTCTGTTCAGGGTATAAATATTCAACGGCGGCCACTGCTATAAAATAACGTTACTTCATCTTGAGACTAAAGACACCTTCAGTGCTTAAATTTACTACTCAGTGCAACAGACCAGCTCACTCAACTTGCCTCTTCGTGGCCAAATGTTGCTTTCGAGCTTCAAATACCAAACTTAATCGTGATCTATCATGAAGAATTGAATCACTTACCTCGAGTAGCCGTGGCATAAGGAGCGTTAACTGCACTTATTAGCATATGGCAATGACTTCTGACATCGTGCAGCGAGCAGCGTGCAACATAACTCGTGCAACACTTGAGAATGCCACAATAAGTGGCATTGTAAAATATACATACAACACAAACCGCCCAAGTCAACTGCGGGTGAACGAATGTACACAACAACTTGCAACGGCATATCTATGTACTGGAGGACCGGAGAGGGTGCCACAGTGTTCGATTTGACATTGAGCGCCAGTTCAGTGGTTCTTGACTATCGCATTCAAACATGCAACATTCAACTTGTAGTCGAACCGGCGTGTCTGCACTCGCGGCGCGCCTCATTCGCAGAGAGTCACCAGCCAGCGCGCTCTCTTCACTCTTATACACTTGCTAGCGCTGGAGTTGCCGAAATTTGAAGCATTTAACTTGAGTTGGACCCCTTGGTTTAGTGGTTTAACCGTTAATGCTGGTGGTTGAGTATCACTGCGCTGTTGGCAGATCCGCTGCCCGCTGCCTCAAGGTCATGGCATGGAGACATAATTCTTAGACGCACAGCTGTTTAACGTTTAATTGTTGACGCGATGGCGCGCGCTCGCATCATTCACAGACCGTTTGCCAAGCGCCAGCCGCATGCCGCGGGCCATTGCTGGGATGCGAAATTGCCGTGCTTTATGCGGGTGGTCTTCGGTTTCCAGTCAAATTTTGTGCGTATTTTTTTGTTTGCCGCGATATGGTGCAATCCTGTGGAGCTTTTTTAAATTGAGCCAAGCGCGTTGCTGTCGCTAGAAGCTCTGGACTTTTAATTAAATTCTAATTAGGCCAATTAATCGGCATTGAATTGCAAAAATTTAATTACAATGCGTCTGATTTTCTTCGTTCAATACAAAAAACTCATTTCGAATATCGTTAATTAATTATCGCTTTTTTAAAAGACTGAAAATGTACGAGGTAATATGTTATTCAAAGCGTTGGCAGAGACTTTTGTCTTAGTTATATATATATCGGTATTGGATTTCGAAAGTTAAGAATTTAAGATGATGCTACTTGAATTATTAGCGAAAAAAACGTATGCGTAAAAACTTAGAGTAAGAGCGGGGAGTCATCGGTTGGGAGTCGGCCGCATTTATGCAAAAGTTATGCTAACTTGTTGGTGGTTTTGATTTGTTGTCTCGGTGCAGCTTTCAGCTCCAACTGCTTCTCTGACTATTGAAAGTCGATAATGAGTGTACCCAAAAGTTTTCGCAAGTTTTAGCAAGCAAAAGGTTTCGAATAGGCTCCGAAACTTACAACGTATGCATCACAATGTGGTTGTGTAGACATATACACCAATCTCCATTGACAAAATATTTGAGTAATATCAACGCAAGCTCATCGATATCCTTACCGAAATAGCCGCAAGAACCGCAACTTTCAGACGGAAGCACGCCAGCACACATTCACCTGGCCAACAAGCTTTTACACTCGCTGCTGTCTGGCGTTTAGTGCCTTTCGTAAATAGCACACACATTGTTGACCGACAGCGTTATACACCATTCGCCACACAACTTCTTCCGCTGTTTGTTGTGTGTTTTCAAGTGGCATGCGGTAGCAGAGTTTTCCCTGCGTTTCCTCGGTTGCACCGATATGAATGAGTGAACATAGGTGTTTGAATTTATGGCAATACACCAATGCACCAACTCATGCATTCGTGCTATGACTGTTGCTGTTGTTGTCTGGCGCGAATTTCAAAGTTGACACAACGACCCAGCAACATTGCACAGCCACCAACGCGATCGCTTCGCTTGCATCTGCCGACTGCCTGCGGCTTCTCACGCTTCGCCTGGCCGCTTGGTAGGTGGCAACCGCAGCTTAGTGAGTGGCATCGATGCGCCATTTGAGACTTCTGCCAAAAGTTTGCTTCGCTGCACACACCACCACCACAAACACATGCACACACACACGCACAAATGTGGCGCGCTAGTTGCAGCTAACGAAAGATGCTAATCCAATTTGGTCTGAGTAGAGAATTCTGCTATGAAAATTTCGTGCATGGCAACTAAACAAGTACGTGTTAATGCAGCAGAAATTATGCTTACAAAGTTAGCTGCAAATATTCATATCGCATGCCGTCATTTTGAGGTTGAGACTATGCAATTTTAAAGAGTTCACAGAATCGCTCGGATTTCAGGTGAGTGGATCAAGGTGATGCATATGTGAGTACGTAAGCTCATCAAACTTTTGATGTGGCATGCAGCACATAAAATCATGGTATCACTTTAGATAAACAACAACAACAATAACAAGTGATACTGAGTACAACGAATGAAGAGTATAATAATTTATTTACTTAGAGAACGATAAATTGCATGCATTGTGCAATAAATACACTTCAGTTGATGTTCTGCCAAAGTGACAGCACTTCAGAATTCAAAATTAATTTGTGGTTTCGTATTCAAATGTAAATGCCACACACAAGGAAAGCATAAAACAGCATATTTAAAAGTGGTAAGGGGAAATTTAATTATTGGAGCAACAGCAGGCATTTCTCAAATAATTTCGAAGCATACTGCCGATTCAGTAGATCTGGCGCATGTAAAAATCAAGGTTCGTGCCATTTGCATAGACCCGAATGTTTGGGTAAAAGATGATACCTGCCACTTTTTGCAGTTATTCTACTGATAACAACTATTTCTGGCATTCTCTTTGAAATAGTTGTCAAAGAGCATGCAGCGAATGCTGCTGTGTCCGACTTGGATAAGCAATTGCAATTTAAGTGTCGATTCCATGTATGTCATAACGAGTTAGACTATAGAAAATGCAAATATTCTAAACACTTATCACAGATGATTAAACAATCGCAAGATTGGCAGCAAACTATTGCATATGCTGGCTGCCGGGCACAGCAATTATGCGCAAAGCTTCGAATTTCATCACTTCTTGGGCAATCACAAGGCAACAACTGCCAATTAAGCTACTATATAGTAATAAAAACAACAAACAACAATAGTAACAACAATGCAGTGAGGTAAATTCTAAACTGTGATTGTAAATTCTGTGCGTTAAATTCGAAAATCCTTTGATAGTATAAAATCACTTCATGCATTTTGAAATATTTTTGCTTGGATCTAGCATACATTGTGTGTGTATTTAAGGATATATGGGCTACAAATATTTATAACATATTTAAGCGCATAACGGTATATGTATTTTGTGGAAAATGCAAATTCTCACGCAGAAAATGTGTGGGGGCTGCATGAACATGGCAGCGAGGTCCATTTGTGAATACCGCAACCAAAGAATGCACACATGCCACACACACGCACAAACACTCGATAACGTTTACATATAATATAACACTCACATGAGTTTGCATGTTTACACACTCGTATTTCATATCGACGAGTTTGGATAAATTGAAATTTTCATTTCCCTCGGCGCAGATATATTCTTCTTAGTTCGAAATATAGAAGAAGCAGCAGCATCCACTCTATAGCTCTTGTTTTCTTTGCGTTCGTTAGTAGTAATTTGTACTGGGCGCTAACAAAGTACAAACACAACATGGCTGAGATGACTGCTGACCAGGCGCCTCGAGTCAAGAGACAGGAAGTCAAGGAGCGGCGGCACACATGCGAAGCTTCCAACATACCGGAATTCTGGAGAAGCTTACAGTTGCCATTGTCATAAATAACAATGTATTGGCAAACATTTTTCTACGCTCGACCACAGCATAAGTGTTTGTGCGCTTTTATGTGTGTATGTGTGTGTGTGTATAAGCGTGAGCGTGCGTGTGTGTAGAATTTACAAATTGAATGCAGCGCTCTAGTTTTCTAGTGGCAATTTGCCTATGCTGCGGCCTCTGCTACTGTCCTTGCCAAGGAGTCTCAAGCCAACTTGTTCTTTGGCTCTAAATCTCTGACAAAACAAGATTTGCTGCAATCACTTGTTTTTATGCTGTCATTCGTTTATTTACTTCAATTTCCCTTTGCGCATCGGTTTCACTTGCAATTGTCGCACACACTCGTCCGTTGTACTTGTGCGTTGTGTGTTGTTGTTGCTGTAGTTGTGGCATGTAGTGTGGCTTGTTGTCACTGGATGCTTAACAGCTACAAATACACATGCATTAGTTGCATTTACCGTTTGTCTTGTGCAAATTGGAAATGAAAAATGCTCAACGGCCGTCTTCACTTCGAACTTTATAAAGAATTCCAAAAGTCCACACGGAAATCCATACCTTCGCCGGACATACAAACATACCTACGTGGGGCACTGATGTCGGTATTCGGAATTCGAAGTATGTATGTAGCGGCGCGTTAGTCTAAATCAATTGCAATGCCACTCAAGTTGACATAGGACAACATCGTTTACGTTGCGCCGCCTGGGGACCCTTACCGCTTCATTCCGCACAGCGCGTTGGAACCAAAGAAGAGTTCGAAAATGTCGTTCTTAACTTCGTTTGCACAGTTACAGGTCATCAACATTGTAAATTAGGTCAATGCAAGAACGTAATGGATTCCTGGTCCGCCATTTTAAGCTTTCAAAATAAATGTTCTCTCAAATTCCAAGTATCTTACTCGGATTGCACAAGCAAAAGGATCCCCGAAAGAACTATATATTGTAACCCCTTCGTTCGACTAAGCTTGGCTAAGGTCGAAGAAAATCTTTACATTTCTAAAGAGACGAAAGCTTAGCCTTTGGCGCTTTCCTTTTCAATGCCTCTTGTTTGAATAGTCTTCGATGTATCTGATCAGTTAGCCGGATATAGAGCCTGCAAAAGTTTTAGACGGATCCCAGTATGCTTTATATGTATGTGATATACTGTGTGCATATTTATGTATGAGTGAGTATGCACGAAACTTTGCTCTACTTCCCGCTTCAATTTCATCTCAGCGTGACTTTCCAACTCTCGCTGCAGCGCCAACTAAGTAAAAGATGCGCCGCCGAGCCTTTCGTGCGCTTTGAAATTCCAATTACTTCGCGGTGTGAGCAAGCGGCGAAATTAAAAAAGTAAAATGTTGCCGCCGGAAAGCCGTTTGGAGCCCCTTGACTCATTTAACCTCCAGCGTGAACTGCAGCTCATGAATATTTGCTGCTGCAGAACCTCTGCGGGCCACACACGCGCTTGTTGACTGAAGTTAGTTGTGTGAGAGCGTTTTTTATTTTCCTATTGGCAACTCTTGAATGCCCAGCGCCTGCCATAGACGAGGGGGTAAAAGTTGCGTATACGCAGGGGCACACACTTCGCCACCTTAAATCACACGCGTTTGCAGAGGCTTCCGTGACGTGCCCAATACAAAGGTGTCAGAAGCAGTCAGGAAACTGCATTGCATTGCTGGTTGCTACTCAAACGTTTTCAGGCTTTACAACAACCACATTTCTCTCAATGTTTTGCCTGTGGACACTTTCATTGCATCGATGTTGGTTTATTTATTGCTTAGTTTAACGCTATTCAGCAGAAATCGCATGAATGTCTTGAGTGGAAGCCCAGCAGTGGCGCCTGTCAGCCCTATCGCCGGGTGCCGCCTGACCTTGCCCCGCAACCACCACTCGGTAGCCAAGCTGTTGGCCAATTTGGCCGCTGTTGTTGTAGGTCAGAATCCGTGCGAGTGGCAGCTAGAACAGGGCGGGGAAGCGGCTGCAAATCCAAACATTTACTTTGACTGCGCATTGCCATAAGTTCAAGTGGAAATCCCCAGGAGGACACTGCCCGCCTTCGTATATGTGTCAGTCGCAGAGTCTGCGGCTGTGTTTGTGTGCGTGTGTGAGTACATGTTTATGGTGCGTTTATTTCAGTTGCTTGTTTGTCGTCGTTAACAGTTTCGTCTTCCTGCTGGCACTCGAGATAGTTTTCCAGTTTGCGTCACATTATTCAGCATGACGAAGCGCATATTTTCCGAGTGTTTTAATTAAAAGTGCTGGGTGTCAAACTTTTTGCCCGCATCTATTAGACTGAGTGTGTTTATTTGTGGGTGTGTGTGTGTGTGTGTGAAACAGTTACGGCTGCCAGAAACATGTGGAAAGTGACAATTTTGGCTTGACCTTTTTGCCGCATTTAGTCACAATCGCAAATAAAGTTTAATGTGTCATAATTCTAAGTGTGATTTACTCACCGGTTGTTACCGGTTATATTAAACTTTTGATGTAGTAGCTCAGTGGTAGTCACCATTTGTAGTGCTTGTAAGCATTTTGCATATATTTGATGGAAGGTAAAAACTAAATGAGCACTTCAACTACTTAACACCACATTTTCAGCATTTACACACATTTGTGGCGACATCATGGAAGAGATTAGAACGGTAATTTACAGTTATTCACGGAATTAAGGTGTGTGAAAGTTAATTATAGTATCAAAAAATTTAAAAAAGGTTGGGTTTATCGATTTATTTCTCCACTCATGTCATGCGGATAAACATTTTCGCTAACAATTTGCTTATTAGTCCATTTACAGTGTACAGGAGCCATTCTCAACATATCGGCGTACCCGAAAGGTAGATGATGACTGAGCAGTTTCAGTAATCAGATTGGTAACCTTTTCTGGTATTTTCTCGTCTTGTTGGTCTTATGTGAGCCTCAAGTTTTATTTCTCCCTTTTTTCGGAATTACCTTTTATCAATTCTCTGAACTTTTGCTTCTTATCTCAGAAAGAGTAGTGTTTGTATTCATATATAGCTGACGCTGTAATAATGTAATATCAACATAAAACCTTGTTGAGAGTGAGTATTTACGAAAGAGCTTTGTGCAAAGGTTTTTGTTTTTAAGTTACCATAAATAAATCAGCTAATACATGCACATTTTCTGAACGAAAAGGAGCAACAAAATCAATTCTTTAAGGAAATATTTACATATCCATACATACATATATGGCAATACTCAATTAATTGAGATTGTCTAAAGTTAATGCAATATATATATTTATTGCTATAAATAATATAGCATATATGTATATAAAAGGACGTGAAGAAATTCGCTAGTTTTCTCTGCTTAAGAAGCATCTATAATATCCGCTCTATTAGTAAATATAATTAATACTTTGTGTGTAATAATGATAATAACAAATTGTGCTATTGTGAAGGCTTTTGCCAGTATATCATGTTGAAGCTTAAAATACGAGAAAAGTGAAGAGAAAAGCATTTTGAAAAGCGTCTAGTTTATACAAGTATACATACATATATACATTTAGGCAAATTAAGCGTCTTTATTATGTGTAATTAATATTATGCAAGTACTGAGGAGGCGCGCTTGTTCATTGGATAATGGAATATAATTAAATCAAAATCGAAGTGGAGAAATTCTTAAAGAAAACTAATGTCTCTATAAAAGCAAAGTATAATTTATCCTTTATCTGATATCTTCATTATATAGATTCAAGTTGAATTGGCTATGAAAAATACCGCTAATTCAGTTGCTGAGTTAGTATGCCGTAAAATGAATCCGGGTTATGAACATATACATAGAAACATATGAAACTTTAATCACTTGTTGTTTAATGAGAAGTTTTAATTGTTATCGATTTCCGACAATATTTTTGCAAAAAATTTAAGCCAACTTTGTTTACCATTTATCCAAACAAACAATTCGAGGCATTCGGGCGGAAAATATTTCAAATTTGATCGAGCATTTCATACGAACCGAATATGCAAATTACCTGATAAAATATGCTGCTGAATGTTTGTCTTCAAGCCATGAGATTGCGTTGAAATAACAAATTTAATTTTAAAGTCAAAACTTAAAGCTTAAATGTGTGCATAAATGAACAGTGTGGCCGAAAATTCATGGAATACTTTAAACACATCACACACACTAACACACACACATATATATGAAAAGAGTATAAAATATGTGTGAGTGTTTATGTTACGTTCACTTTCTGAGAAGTCACTCGTGTGCCGTCGGTTAATTGAAAAGTCATTAAAAATAGTGAACGGTACATTTCCAAAATGAACCGACAGACACTGTAGCACGGCATTAAAAACTATAAAATCTGTGTGGACCGAAAACCAGCGGATGGTACGTGTGTGTGTGTGTGGGTGTGTGTTCGTGCATCTGCTTTTGATTGATGTCACGTGGCAGCTGCTTGAGCCTCCAGCTACATACATATATGCATAAAGCTTTGTGTGTATTTATTTGTAAATAAACAAGCTTATGGCACTCAATTACATTTATAGATATGTATGTATGTATTCAGAAGTATATTGAAGCTCATTAAATGCGTCAGCGTATTGCTATTGCAAAATATATAAAAGGCTAACCATATATACACAAGAATACAAATACTCACACGAATACACATACCTTGTATGAATGTATGTATGTATGTGCAGGATTGTGAAAAAATATCTATTGAAAGCGTTCTTGTAGGAATATCTCAAGTGCACAAGATTAACAGTTAAGTAAAAAATTATATCAGAGCAAAATACGACAAGCCAATGCGTCTAAAAAGCCTGATATGCAGCTCCACTATTAGGACTCTCTATGCGGTTCACTTACTCTCCTAGGCAGGCTCTTAAAGTAGCATATCTGCCTCACAAAAGATCCATTTTAAGGAATATAAATATGTTCCAGAACTAATCGCTGCTCTTTCTTCTTTGATTGCAACGAAATATAGAGAAAAACTCATTTTTTATACAAATGTTTTAAATCAGAATTTAAGATTTTCAACAACTTTTTTAAGTGTTGTACATTACGAATGGAAATTGATTGCTGTCAGATTTTTCAAAGCAAAAGTTCTCTAATTTCAAAATAAAAAAAAGGTTCTGTCAATATTTTATTTTGAACATTTATTTCTTAAAAAAATTTCAAATTAATTTTATTTTCATTTAGTGTTTGTTTGTGGTTTTCTAGTTGCTTGGGTTTTTCACATTTTGTCCTTATGTTGTGCATAAAATTTACAAATTCCGTGTTAACTCAAAATGTTTAGACTCTTCGGTGAGTAGCTGCTATGTATGTATTAAGGTGATTGCTAAAGGAATTAATGATTGCGTGACTTATGGTTTGGATGCGATTCTTTGAAGAGGTGATAATTCTCAATATTTCTGGCTTTTTAGTTTTCAATGTCTACACATTTTAACTGTTTCTAATAAGCCAAGATGAATATGAAGTTTTAAAGTGTTAAACTTGCTGTAATTATGACATAACACGTTCTGTGTATCTAACAAACAAACAGACGTACATATTTTTACACAGCCTGGCACATTTTTATGATTGCTGTCACACAGTCCGAGAAAAAATAAAGCGAAGTGACTTTATTGTTCCGAGACATAAACACACTTTAGAGCGACTGCAAGCACACATCTACATAAATGCATAAATGTAATAAGCGAATAAAATTTTTATAGGTATTTACACAGCGCCCCTTCACAACGCCATAGGAGCAGTAATGGGCACGCGGCATCAACAGCGTAGTACCAGCAGTCGCATCTGCCAAGGCAAAGCCCGGTCGCGACATGGCAAGCCAAGTTGTAGCATCTCAAACCGTATTAGCCACAATCAAAGCCACAACCACAGCCGCTGCCGCTGCCGCAGTCGGCGCCGGTTCCTTTCACTTTCTCAAATTACGTCTTTGTATGACAACATAATAGACGCACATACACACAACCACGCAGTCACTAGCACACGTATACTCGTCCGTAGCGTTAACTCGCCCACTTATATACATATTTATTTGCCGCAATAAGTGAGGCATTCGCATTCACCACCGCCGGGTTATTAGTTTTTAGATTTGCTGCTCTTCTGCTGTTTCTGCTTCTTCATCGCCTTTGTTGGAAAGGCGATCGTCTTCGTTTCGTGAGCCACTAACCCGTTTTCTGATTATGGCACTGGAATAAATACGCTGATACGCTGACTAAGGCTAATATCTATGGTAGTGTCGGCGATGCCGTTACTTGATTGTTGATGATGTCGACAGCGACGGTTGCTGGTATCTCAACGTTCGTTGCCAACCACAGCCTTATGTAACAGTTAGCTAGTTAGCGCATTTTTGCTCTTCCTAATAAGTGTTGGCGTAAAGCAAAAGAGTAACGGTTTTGGACTTGCAAAAACCAACCGTAATGTACTCATGTGGTAGTTAATTATGTAGAAAAGCAACAACAACAACAATATCGCGCTCACTTCAGCGGGCAAGCAACAGTGTGCTATTTTAATGGAGCAATTTCTGGTTGAATATACGAGTATTCCATTCATTATAAACATGAGGCATTGCCGTTCGGTTTAACTCTTCCCCATCAGTACTGCTCGACTTCACGGTTGGAATTAGTTACTAAAACATATTTAAGCAGGTTGTTAGTAAAAGCTCAAAGCATTTCTTACAGGATCCTTAAATGACATTCTTATTTTTGAAGTTTCTTGAGAGTAGTTACGAAAGTACTTTCGTCACTGAGTGTCCTGATATCATGCTAAGTTGGAGTCTATGTATGGACCTGTCCTAGGATCGCACAATATCAATTTGTGCAGATATTTTGGAGGAATTATATTTAAATTTAACACAAAGCACTTTTTTCATGGTAGCATGAAGTGTCCGTTACTATTGCAGGGTGGCCATACACCGGCATATGTTATTGCCAATATGTGCTTTGTAAAAATAAAGTCAAAATCAACTTTTACACCGTGTCATTAATTTGTTTGCGAATTAATTTTTCTCGCTTCCCCAGCTAATTCCGCTAAAAGCTTTTGAAGTGCTAACTTAATGACACTTGAAACATACACATGTAAATATAATACACACACATACATAGCTACACACACACATACATCATGTTAGTCTATAGGCTTCTACACTATTATTAAGTTCATTATTTCACAGATTAAAATCAGAACGGTTTTACGGTAAATTAATTAAGCGAATTCCCGGAGTGAGAGTGCTCCCTTTGCGTCTTCCTTTGATTAAATAAACACACACACACACAGTTATTCAAAAACGTGCAAAACTATTTGTTTGCATATTTGTACCAATCTGTAGCGCCGGTGTATTCACTGCAACAAAGCTCTCAAAGGCGAGAAAGCGCTCTACGCTCTAATTTCTTGAATGCGAACTTTAATTACATCAATTTCGCTTTTAATTGCAAACAATTTTTTTGTCATTTTCTAAATGCCTTTACGCTTTCAAAGCGTTTATTTACCGCGTGCTATATTGCTTGAAAAGTTTTTAGAATTCTCGCGTTGGCATTTCATTAAGTTTTCGTATGAATGGCTTGTTGTTGTTGCTGCTTACTTACCTCTAAAGGATTAAGGTGCTGCATATGCAAGTATTCATTTACATAAGTAGACATAAATGTGTGTGCTCACACAATTGCATCGATGTTTCACACTTTGCTTTTAATGATAGTTGGATGCTTTTGGCACAAAGGTGTATTCCTTCCAAAAACAAAAAAAAACACTATGCTTCTAGGGGAACTCAGTTGTCTCTTCCCTTAGACAAAACATATTCTCCTGCAGTATCTGTAAATGTGTGGCATCAATGGAAAATGGGCTTGTATACTCAAAAAAGTTCTGTTGTTTCTCCTCACTCTTCACTGTTTTTCTTCACTTTAATGAAGTAATGGAGAAAGCATGGTTCATTGACTAAACTCAAGTATCCTGTTGTCTCAATAGAAGTCTGAACACATCTAATCATCAAAATATCAAGAAGATGTTCTTGGAGTAAACGAGCTCTCATTGCAACTTTGTTGGCACCGACTCAAGCGAAAGTGTGCTAAATGAGAGAAAAGAAGCGTCTTTTGCAACGAAGAATGAAAAAGCAATTCAATTTCGTAAGTGCTGCGGATTTGCCAAATAAACTTACACATACTTACATATAAGCATACGTCTCGCATTTTTACAAAAAATGCAAATAAACCAAGGCAGCTAAATGATGCGAATGGAGGTATAACTCAGATATATATTACCGACGTTAAAAAGTTTTAAAATTTCATTTTAAACTCCTTAAATAATATTATTCAACACTTTACCGTACACTTGTTTTATGATCCAGGTCAGCGCCTCGTTGTTGTAATTGCGCAAGTTTTTTGTCTGGAAAATAGCATCCTTAAACTGCAAGTTATGGCTCGCTATTTATACATTTGCTATTTTTAAAACAGACGTACACATTATATGCGCTTGTGTGTATGTGTTGGTGCAAGCCTCTGCGCTTGGTCCGTTGAAATTTGCATATAAACTTAACGGTAACTTTCAGCGTCTCCTCCATTTATACTGTAAATATTAATTTTTTCGCCGTTTATGGTCGCTATTAAAACTCATTTATATTTAGTACCGTTACTGGAAGCCAGTTTGAACAGAGACCATGAGCTCCCTCGCTCCTTTTATATCGTCTCAGTTTTTTATCATACACCTACTCTTGTAAATATTCTCAACAACTACCTCCGTTTGTCTTTTTAAATTCATTCTATTTTACTTTTACTACGTTTTGCGTAATATTCTGCGTAAACAAAAACCAAAAAAAAAAAACATTTTGCCCAACAACAGCGAAGCTGAGCAAAGCAAATGCTATAATCGTATTATTTCTTAAAGCTATTTATTTGTAAATTCTCTTATTTATACTCGGGCTACATGCTGCACAGAGTACAATAATTTTGTTGACCTAAAAGACATTGCTAACACTTCGCTGGAGTCCTATCTTGACTTCGCGTGACGCCGGTTATGGCACCAAATTTGACCTTCATTAAACCTTTGGTTGAACTTCGGTATATAGACAATGTAAAGAGTATTTTGAGACAGTCTTAATGACACATAGGCTCATCACATCGTTCACAGCCATGCTCTTACTTGCCTAAAGAGTTGGGTCTACGTAACCGGAACAGGTCCAGATTTTTATCTGGTCAAGGAGTGTCAACTCGGCAGCATACTTGCAAATTAGTTCAAGAATGTTTTCTGCCGCTACAAGAACAACAACAGTCGCGCTCACATCTCTTTTTCAAATTGAGTAAAAGAAATATTGCTACGAAGCTTAATAAAAGTGTTACTAATGATGGTGGGTCAACAACCACTTTAACAACACATTTAATTCCAACAATTTTAAATTTCGCTCGCATCAAACCCTGCCCTAGTTGTAGCTTTTAATTTTATCTAATATTTGTTTACCATCAAGTTGTAGACAGATGCTGAGTTATATTTAAAAGTATGGTGGTTGGAAGTGGTGAATGGTATTAGGTATTTTTCCATAAATTTGAAGGTAACACCAACACATATGTACGTTCATACCTACATAAGTTTATATAAACTGAAAAGAAAAATTTCCACATTTATTTTTCTAGTTCACTGAATCCAGTCAAATGTTAGAAGGAGGCATTTTTTAATACATTAGCTATCAGCAATGATTAGATTCTATTCGCAGTTTATATATGTGTGTGTGTAAATTTTGGGGTGGTCACAGTCAAATTTCGGGAATTGTTTATGAAAAATAATTGAGAAGTAACATCGATTGAAAAATATATAAGTATAACCAATAAAGATGTCTCTTATTCCACGCAAAGACGTTTGATGATGATTGCATATTATTTCTAATAATCCATTATTACTCTCTCTCTCTCTCGCACGAAATTCGCGTTCTCTACTCCACCACAAGGGGCACTATCCACGTCTGTGGTTCTGTTAAATATTAATTGATGTCCTCTCTCTCTCATTTCGAACACTTCAAATAGTAACGATATAAATAGAAATTTAGTAAAGAAACTCATTGAGCTGCTCTTATTAAGAGCACACGCATTTTATTTGCCATATTTATTGCGCTTTGGCTAAATCTGGACAAAGTCAAAGCGAAAAAAAATATATAATATCTCAATAATATTGGTGTTATATTATATGCTGCATTATTAAGCATTAGTGTTTCTACAGGCGTTCATATTGTCTCTTTGTACCACAATATTATAACCGAGGGTTCAAGCAGTACCATTCTGGTGTTCATTTTGAATTGATGGTCACATATTTGCATTTAACATTTTATCGAAATTCATAATGAAATTCAGCAATGAAAAGTTATCAAAAATGCATATTCAGGTTCGCGTCGAGTTGTTTACGCATTTACTAACTGTTTTATCAATTCATAACACAATTATTGGCCGATTCATTGATGTGCATTAAATGGCTTAATTCAATACTTCGATTTCAATTTGCTTCTCAATTTTGTTGCATTTAATTGCCGCGATTTTCACACACAAATGCATTCAATAAAGGCGAGGCAGTTGGTGTGCCTGTTGTTGTTGCATTTGCTGTGCAACATTCGCATATGCATGCGCTTTTTGCTCGCTAAATATGTGAATATATACATATATACATATGTATGTAAATATATATTTCGGTTGGAATGTGTGTGTGTGTATGGGAGTCATGCGTTTGCAGTGCAACCGCAGATATTTAGTTTTGCAAATGAAAAGCAATTATTTACGCATATTTTATTGCGCTTACATCTCGATAATTACTGCGAAAATAGACTACCGAATGCGAGGCGAACTAAAATTTAATCAAACAATCGCCTTTCAAATGCCTCATAGAAGTGCTTTCTATTAATAATTGCGGGTTTCACTAAATTGCATTAAATGGCCTTCTGAATGTGTGTGTGTGTGTGTATGATTAGTGAGCTGGGGAAAAAAGTTAATAATTTGCTTCAACATTATACCGTCTAATTCTGTAAGAATTGCCAAAGTTCTGCGCCTAAAACCATGCAATATTGACCGAGAATTCCGCTCTTAATCAAATTAACGAAATGGTGCCACACGCACACTCACAGAGCCACACACATGCATAATAAAAATCTGTTAAGTCAGAAAGTGTCTGCAACCCAGTTGTCTGCTCAATTTGCTAGTCATTCAAGCATACCTTAAGGCGCGCAGGCTGCATATGTAAACACGCACTTGCGATGAACTTTGATTTGTCTAAGTTTCACATTTTTTGCCAGGAATATTTATTATTAATTAACTTTGAACTTTATGAATTAAATACACAAATACATGTACATATGTATGTAGATATGTAGTTATGGTACATACATACATACATGCGCAGTAAATGTGTGTGTCGAAACTTTTTTGATTTCATTCTCGTACTAGAAACAGTAGTTCTGATTTCAATTATGTGGTTTATACATTAATTAATAGTATAAGTCGAAATGAAACAAGTAATGCTGATTGAACAAATATAGCAAAACATTTGAAAATAGTTTACAATTTTAGGAGCAGAAAAATTACACGTGGCTAATTCACACGCTGACTTCCGGAACATGAACTTTCGCTACCAATTTTGAGGACGAATAGTGTTTAGCCGACAGATGGCGCTGTTTTCGAAATCTACTTTCCAAAGAAACCTTTGGACTCGAAACCAGAATTCGGGGTTCTTTAGTGGTTGAAATATTTTCGCTTTAACAATACTCAAGTATTGATTTTCTCGATGCTTTTGCATTTCGCAATCAGCTGAGTTAGAAATAATAATAATATTTCGTGTAAGGTCAATGAAGAACGTTTCCTATTCCATAGCGTGTTTTCGCTTATGTGCATTAATTGTCACATCGAGCAGCATTCGTTTGGCAAAAGAGCTCGGAAAAGTAAGACTCGACTACTCTGAAAGGCTTTGCATACAATCATTTCATTTATTATATATTAACTTGAACAAAATAAAGGATATACTTTATTTATACAATTATCTGCTCAACGCTGAACTCTTTTTCGACCGCAAGTTGAACTCAGTGAAACAGCAACATCACACCACTTGAAAGAGTTGTCAAAAAGAAGAGAAGTAAATAAATCCAATAAAGACGAAAAACATTTTCCAACAAAATGCTCATGTCTGTCAAATACAGTGATGGACAAGCTGACACAGAGTGGCAAATTCAAAAAACACTGTGGCGAAAAAGCGACGCTGTGTAGTTAAGAGTAGGTTATGCAGTTTATCAGCGCCTGTGGCGAAAAGTTAGAATCCTGTTTTTTTGCAACAGTGAGTTGTATGTGTATTTTGAATAAAGTAAATTTACGGGTAAATATATGAGACCAATATGCACCAACACATTAAGCAACTGACTGCCACCTACAAATATAATTCCGACCAAGTTTTCGTTAATAAACATACGAACACAGCTTTAACACTTGTTTCGCTCATCTCTGCTAATCGCGCTCTTGTATATATTTTATTGCCGAACTCATTTAAGCAGCGTTTTGGATGCGGCAAAACTTTTTATCATCGTAATTCTGTAAAAATTTGATTTCCCGACTAAATGCACACCCTATCATAATATATATACATACATAAAATAATGAAATAAAGGGAAAACATTTGGAAAAAGTGAGTAAAAAGTGTTGCCAAACTCGTGCCAGCATATTTAACTTTGCATTAATCGGTTTCGCTGTGCAATAAAATGCATAAATCTCGTGCGCTTCAACTCGAGCTCCAACTCTCGCACAGGGGATAAGTGCATATGTTAGACGCAAAATGTTTGGAAAAGCTAACGGTTGGTGCAAATGGAGCTTAGCTCGCCATCCCATGACGGAAGGCAAACTGTGGTTCCACCCCGGTTTTAGTTTAGTACGGAAGCAAGTGATGTTAGTGGGTGTGTGCTGAAAATTACAATGATAACGAAAGCATTTGAATGCGTTCGAGGAAGGCAATTGACCGCTTCGAATTGGTAGAATATACATAAAGTATATATGTATATACGTCTACAAATTTTTTTTATACGCCTTGAATATGAAGTGGGTATATATTTTTCGTGGCACAGGTTGACTCGATTACAAAAACATGAAGGTATAGCCTTTTATAATCTAATCTTTAATCTAAATTTCTTCAAAGTTTTTGTCTTCTCGATTTCGATCTGTCAGAGAAAAGTTCTGAAGAAATTTCTGTCATGTGACCTTATCTTATTCTACTATTAGGGGCATACTGTATGCTAAAATTCAAAGATGTTGCCAAAAGGCTAATGGACTGTCAAAAAGCATAATTTCTGAAAACTTTTGCTGTACTCCATTAATTTCTTAATTTGACTTAAACTAATCTTCCAAGCAAACGTCGCTACTACACTATTACTAGCTAGGCAGAATAATCCCTTTTAGTTGGCGTTGAGTCTTCCTAGCTAAATTTTACAATGGTGTGAAAAAACATCATACTGACTAAATTGATAATCGTTCGGTGTGACATAGTCCTATTACATATATCTGTGTGAGTAAATTTGTGTTGCACCAAGTGTGAAAGCGAGTATTCATTGTCTCTTCGACTATATGATTTATAAGCACAGTTACGGCGCGAGCTCTTCACAATTCGCCTGACATTGAAAATTCATTGTCACTTCCTGTCGAATTCACAAGCAAACGTAAATCCCTTACATAATCCCCTAATGTTCACTTCGGCATGGCACATTGAAAATGACTTATCAACACGCCGGTACACCACACCCCGGAAAAGTACAACAGTAGAGCGCAGCATCCGGTCAAAATGATTTAACCGGAAATCGTACATTTGGGTGTGGGTATGTGTGATTGGGAATACAAGCGTTTATTTGTACTTTCTTTAACACAAAAATCTCCCCATCCCCCCGTCCAAAGTAAAAGTTCAATAAACGTAGGAACCCACTAACCCGCCAACTCACCTTCAACTCACTGCTTCTTCAGTATTTTCGAAGAAAAGGTTGAGCAATTCGAAAGCGCATGTGCCATCGCGCTCTCGCCTACCTGCTCTCACACTCTCTATAGAAAAAGGCTTCGCTCTCTTATTTTTCAACATCAAATTGACATTTTGTTTGACAGCAAAAGCAAAGACCAAACCAAAACATTTGCTAAGGGTGATCATCATGCCACTCAGGGCGAAACACCCAAAGGGGTAGTTAAAGAATTGAGCGAAGAAAGAGGCAAAAATCAAAATCGCTCATATTATAGCTTGCCACCGCTGTTTTGCCCATTTCACCCAAGAGCATATTTGACAGTTTCGCGTTAGTCATGCCGACTTTCAGCTGTGCGTCGCGAGGTAAATAATAAATCCGCGTGGAAACTCGCGAAAAGCCAATTGAGCTATTATTGGAAAACAATAAATCGGTGGTCATATACATTTTTCGTATTTTTCGTACAAATTTCGTAATTCAAGTTAAATGCAATGCAACAAAAGCCTTAAACGCTCCACAATTATAAATATTATTAGCCAAATGCCGAGTGTGCTTTAAATAAAGGAAAATACGCGTAAAAGAAAACAAAAACAAAATAGTTTTAATTATGTCAGAAGATGTTATGTTTGTGTGTGTATAATACGGTTAATGTGTGGCTTCATTGCAGAAGTCAACGCGGTTTAATGTGTTCCATGAGCAATTGGTCGCAGCGATATGGATAAGGCTCCACAAAATATTTTAATTTCGCTTCCAATCGGTGTAGACCAACATAACAATTTATAGGTAAATTGCTTCGAAATATGCGCCTTCAAAAAGGTAGTAAAGTGCTGTGAAAAATCGAACGATTCATGCCTTGAAGCGTTAGTCTGACAAAATCAAGTGTTCCGTCAACCACTTTGCTCTGCGTTTTTGTTGCTCACATATATTTGAGGTGTCTTAAAAGGGCATAGTGGGTATTCGAGAGAGAAAGAGAGAAAGTTGTTGTGTTTGAATCATGCTGGCTATTGTTTTTACGAATTTCTGCGTTAGTCGTTGACCTTAAATCGAGCAACCCTTAAATTTGATTGAGAGAATTTGGGAAAACCATGTTGCCAGCTGAAAAATATCACTATCACAGCAAAATTGCGGAGCTTTATAAAATGGTCAAAGAAAATTCAAATTCTCGAAGTAACTTTGACTGGAAAACTGAAATGCGTGAACTGTATAAGGAAGCAACACGTGTTCGCTTTGTTGTTTAAGAAAGACAAGTAGAAGTATTTGCTATTATCAAAAAACAGAGGCGTATTATTTTATTTTTTTTAGGCAAAATCTTAACGGTGCTTCTTCACCACTCACCACGCGAGGTTTTCGCAATAAACAACAGACTCAGCAAGGAAATAGTGCATTTCAACATGCACAGTCTCCTCAGTCGCTGGGTGCAATGGGTGTATAAATTGTAACTTTCCAAGCGACTGCACAACAAGACTCCCACTTCTCCAATTACTTGCCGCGTGGCTGTTTGGCGCACTATAGTGTAGTTACTCGCCTTCGCGGACAGCATCCGCACAACAACAGCATGAAATTTAGTTTTGAGAAAATTTGATGCAGACCACTTGAACATCACTTGCAACTGATTTGCGTGCAACACTTGCAACAAGCAGCGCAACGCCATTAACTCAAACGGCAGCCCAACAACTCAGCTTGTTTACACATTATTTAATTATGTGCTGTGCTGTGTTGCTGTTGTTGGTGCTGCCTCTATTGTCATTAATGTCTTGGATGCCATTTTAGTGGTTAGTTTTGTTGTTGTTATAATCGCTTCCACTTCTCAGATTCCTCACCTGATTGTATAAATAGCAAGGCCTTAACGAAGTTTGTCTTGAATGGCATCGCACCTCACTTGGGCCGCCAACGCCTATGGTGTGTATAAATGCCCACTCAAGTCATGCCAATCAAGTTGACTGATTCTTCGGTCATGCCTGTCGTCCATTAGCTTGTGTTGTTGGAAACCTGTCGCGTCGAAGAACATATCGACTTGATACTCAATGACTTGCATGCTGGTGGGTATACTCCAGTATATTTAATGTGTCCACACTTTGACCCAGTTGCTTTAATATACGTGTGTTGGTAATTGTCTTCCCCGATGCGATAATGAGTTCGCCTTGCAAATGTTAATTAAAATGTCAATCAATTAAGTCAGTAAAAGCTAGTCTTAACGAATTATGGAGATGGCCAAAGGACTACATATGATACTGTATAAATCGAAATGTGTTGGCAAATAAGTAAAATTAATAAAAAATAATCCACCCTAATATAATAATTCTTCATATGTTGCCTATAAAAATTATTTAAACTCAATTCGAATCTTAAGCTAATATAATAAATCAAATTTAATACTTCATTTGTAAAATGTCAACATAAATAATAAAATACTTCTTCTTCTGATACCATCGTCTTCTCTGCCGTCCATAACATATAGCCCAGAACCTTAGCTGCACTCCGACGGAATTGAGCACTGCAAGCAGCGCCAACTTACGACATTGTAACTGCAGCTAAAAGGCATTCGGCCTCAGACTTGGCGAAGGTTCAAAAACCCCACCGATCGAACAAAATACAACTGAAATCCATTGCGGCGAGGAGACTCCGAACATGTTCGCACACCGTGACTGAGAGACAATATGTTGCGAGCGCCAACTGGGAGGCACAGTGCTGCAAGCGCCACAACTCTTATACGAAGTTCTCGGTGTGCGTTGCCGACTGCCGCGGCGTCCGTATAAAACGCTTAACGCGGCAACGAAACTGGTCATTTGGCGTTCGCTTTGTGTGTGTGCGTTTCGCGGCAACGACGTCAGCTCTAGCAGTGATAGCGCGGCGCTAGCCCAAGGCGGTTACAGTGGCAGCGGTTACCAGTCATTATCAGTTAACAAAAGCGCTTGCACATCGACGCGGCGCATCAGTTGCTTTAAGCCCCTCGTTCGAGTTGTCGGCGTTGGTTTGCGGTTCCGCTCAACACTTTCGGTGCATAGTGTGACGCTTTCTGAGATTTAACGCGCGTTTGTGACAATTTATTACAGAGACACACTCGCAAGCGCGTCAAGAGACCCTCGTAGGTGCAACTAACGCTTCGTGATATTTAGCTCATGGTCGAGACAGACGGCTGTCCATGCCAACGGCTGTCAACTCGTAATCGGTGTTAGCCAAATTTATTGAATTGTGATACGCGCGCGTGTGTGTATTAGTGAATTTATGATATTCAACTTTGAGCAGCGCTTTTCGGAACCACAAAGTGTAAACATTATCGAATAGGAAATCGCGGGTGCTCATATTTGTTCAAAGAAGTATTGACCTAGAGCTGTTGATATTCTATATCCTATTCTCCGTCACACACCTGAATTGCGGTTATCTTATCTGTGGGTGCGTTTGCGTAGACCCATAATTAAAGCGTTTGCCAGCGGGAGCGCGTGAACGTGCGAGCGTGTGAAAACCAAAACTTTCGCGGCTAAAAGCGCGCGATCAAGCGTTTTTCTGTGCGGCGGTCGCTGTTATCAGCTGCTTCTCAGCGTTCTCTGTGTGGCGCTGGTGCGCGCGAGTGCTCCGTGTCGTATGAGTAAGGCCGTTCCAGTTGGACTTAACTGCCGCGTAAAGCTTCGTTAAATTTCACTCTGTTTGTGGAATTTGTTGCGTGAATTCTTTCTAAAGTGATAACATAAAAGTAAAAGGGAGAGGTATGTGCCGCATTCTAGTGCGTATGTGTGTAAATGTGCTCGAATGTCAGGTTGTTCCGCATGTTCTGAAAGGCCTTTGATAACATAAAAACAAGATATTTCTTTGAAGTCCCGCCTTAAATTAGCGATAAAAAATGCAACATCAAGAACCCATCAGAAATTAATTCTACATTTTGATAAAAAAAAATAAATACTAACTCCATATTTGACATCGCAACTAGATTGCTTTTTATGTGAAGATAACTATTGTTACTAGATCTTACCAGATAACTTTTCAAGGTCCAAGAGTTGTTTTTTTACATCAGCTCTCATTTATCTTAATTTATTTTAATTGAAATAACTGATTACTGATACTGTATCTGCGAATTGTGGTCTTCATGATTTCACAATTTATGTGTATAATTTTCATATGTGTCTAACGTGATCTAATAGCTGTTTAAGAAATACAATTTAGATAACTTTTACGCTAATAATAACATCGTGATAAAAGTGTTTCTAGTTTGACAGATTTCAGAATTTTTAGCGGAATGTCTTCGAAGCGAAATTTCAGTGCTATCACGATTGCATAAAATATTCGAACTACTACTTTAAGACGTTCAATACTATAAAGTTGTTTAGGGCTCCAAATGTGCAAAGTCTGAAATAAAAATATATTTCATTTAGAAACTATTATTACTTCACTCAGAAATAAGTTTTTTTTTTCAAAACTATTTCATTGGTGTTGAATGCTTTTATTGAAATAGCTCTGTTTGTATATCCCACAAAAAGTTCCAAATAAATATAACAGCTGCAGAATAGTTCGTTACTTAACAAATTACGTAAATGCTATATACATATAATATGTAGCCAAGTAAATAAATATATTTTTATTATGAATGGTATTCGGAAATAAACAGTCCACACCAACAACCATATGTGCAAACACACTGGTTTCTCTTAGTGCTAATATAATTACGTGCCGAAACTTTGAAACCACACAAACCTATGTTCGTTGAGCATATAAAACGTTCGTTCTGCCATTAAATATATACATATGAATCTATGCACCGACTTTTATGTTGCACTGTAAATATTTCGGTTTCGTCATCAGCGAGTAGATTTCTAAACAACCAGAAATGGCTGCCTCTGAAAAGAAACAGTTTTGAGTTGTGTTGTTTATGCCGGTAGCATTTAATGAACATATAAAACACTCACATTTAAAAAAAAGAAGAGCTCTGCACTAATTATAATTATTATTTGCTACACGAGTGTACTCGATGTGGTGGCATTCTTAGAAAGCGAAGGCTCTTCTGCAATAAATGCAACAAATATTTACTGAAAGAACTATGCAGCCTTTGGGTGCTTCGATTTTGATAAATTAGTGCATGTTTGTGGAAATGTGGCAAGATTCAAAATGTAGTTGGTCAGTAAAAAAGCACTTTTGTTTTTTTAAAATATTAGTTTAATGTCATTCTATTAGTTAAAGGCTAGTTATCACGCCTGTTTCATTTTCATTCACAACGAAAACTCAATTGATCTAAATCCGAATTAATCCGTATTAAAGCAGATTTTTAATATTTTCCTTTGTTTGTGATAAAAATAGCATATAAATTGACTTTCCGCTTTTCTTTTCAGTTTTTGCAAAAGTGCAAAAGTTTTTCGTGTTTAATTTACAACATTTACATCTGTGTTCAATTCAGCTATTGGGCTTATTGTTTACTGTTTCCATTCGATTCTGCAAACATATTGATTTTAATTTAAATGTATTTGTTTCACATTCATAACAAAAACCCGTTCCACTTACATACCTCGATACACACACACACGGGGGCTTACACGAGAACATATGCGCAGAAAAAGTGAATAAAGCTCTGTGCATGTAAAGAAAATATCTCGAAATAATACGTTTCATTATTCGTATCGAAATTGACAAAAAACAGAAACCCCATACAATGTTTTCGGATTATTTTTTGCATTCTTCAAATAAAACATTGCATGACATTCAGCCATATCTGTGGAGTACATATATACATATGTACATCTGTTAATATCGACACGGCGAATTTATAGTCATACGAGGGAGCTTAAAAGGTTTTTACACGCAAAAAATGCTAGAACTCTGCACATATTAGAAAATATTGTCAACAACAATGCAGAAGGGTAATGCAATAAAAATAAAGCTCGTATTTTCAATTTAATATTTCGATTTCATAAAAACATATTTTGATTTATAATTGCCCGTTATCTTTTAATTGATAGAAATCGGCTTAAAGCGCTGTAAAATATTGCTTTTATAAAAAAAAAATCAGAAAAAAAAGTTTCGTTCTTTTGATAATGTTAATGGCGCGATTTCACTGTCATAAATATTTAATGTAACAGGTTTTTATAGAAAAAACATTGTGGACTATTTAAGTGGATTTAGTTTTTAACATTTTTCTATAACCTCTTAATGGAGCGACATTTTAGAAAAAATTAACACAAAAAAGTTAATTTCATTGATGGCAGACTTTTAAAACCTCATTAAATATGGATAGTGCATGAGTGCACTGATAATTTTTTCTCATATTTTAGATAATTCTAAATAGTTGTGTATGTGTGAGAATCGAAGTGAGTGTTTTTTACCTTTAAAGCAGCACAATTCGATGTCTAATTTTGAGAAACAAGAATGTGTACTGCAATTAGGCTACAGTATTAATTATTATATATATATATATATATGATATATGTATATAGTGAACTGCTCGTTAATCAAATCTATTTACACCCTCTTCATTGTTCCCTTTGCAGCGATAAACAATTTCAGTTCGGTGCAATCAGATGAAGAGAACTTGTTGGTTGTTAGTATTGGTGATAACAGCACCCAGAACGATTCTAATCAGAACAATAACAACATCAATTACAACAATACCACGCTAATAAGCAACAGTTGCAGTAGCTCCAACAACAACACACTCATAAATCTCTATGATAATCATTGCGGCGACGGTGACAGCAACAGTAAGACCAACCGCCATATAGTTAGCAGCAATAAGACGCGCTGCGACAAGCACAACAACAACGCTGCCAATACATTCCGTCAACTGCAGGAGCAACAGACGCACGTTGGACGTGTTACTGGCTGTTGTGCCACGTGTTGTCGTCTAGAAAGCGACAATAAAAGCGACAAAGTCAACCGCATTAGCAGCAGCAGTAGTAACAACAACAACAGGAATATTAATAACAGTAGTAATATTAACGGCAGCAACAGCAGAAACAGCAACAGAAGGAAAATGCGCCGCAATGTGAAATTCATTGTTTTTGTAAGCATCATTTGGATATTCGTCATGGTTTACTACTTCCAGTCCAGCACGGAAAAGGTGAGTAACTGTAAAACAACCACCCTCCCCAATTGTGTCTCTCATTAGTCACGGCATTCTTTTCTATTGTGGTCTCACACACATACACACAATGTACATGTAAACTGCACTTGCTTTGCGATCTCCCTTGCGTCTTTACACCTCTCCTCCAAATCTCGTCCAATTGCATAATCGCGCATATTCATGGCCATTCATTATTCAACGACCACTCGCTCCTAACATTTCATTCACAACGCCATGCACAGAGACAGGAAGAGGCTGCCTATTCAACGAGGTGCCGATGTGCTGGCGGACGGACACAGAAATCATTTGCAATTATGCTGGGCATTGCACTCGTCACGCCAGCTAGAGAAGACGGTTAGCAGCAACAATGACCAAAATCATCAAACAAAATCGTTTGCTTCGTTTTTTACTGCTATTTGTTATATTCTACAATTTTGAAGTCGTTGAACGATTGTTAGTAAATGATCGTTAGCCCCTTAACCGATCATCGCATTGAGCTCTACTCTCGCTTTGTGCATCTCTCAGTCTCTTTGCCGCTCTCGCATTGCTTAGTAAGTAATATTTTATTCATTAAACCGCCTGCATATGAGTTGAGTTCTTCTTCAATTATCCAATTAATATTCCAATAAGGGAAATGCAAATCAGAAATGGCTAACCGTTACGCATAAGGCACATACAACTGCCAACAATAGCAAATTTGACAGTCACCACAATAGCAAATCACTAGTAACTTTTCAAGTAAAGTAGCTGATAAAACTTTGGTGAAATTGGTGAGGCGCTTCAATAATTTGTAACAACAATGCGAGCGCTCAAATCAACGCCCAGCGAAGCAGAAACTCGAAAGCTTCCTAGATGAAATCGATCCAGTTAGAAAAGCATACGCCGATGATTTGAAAAGTTGTTTCAGAAAAAGAGCGTATCAATATTTTTTCTAATATACAAAAACATTTAGGACCTAAAAAAAATTAAATTAAATATTGTTGCTTGAAATATACATGAAACCATACAGTTAACTATCTGTTTGCAACTAGCAAGACAATCGACCGACTAGTTATGCTTTCGGTTGAAACTAGTAAGAAAGTAGTTAATAACTAGTTATTTTCACTGCAGGCAGTATTCAATATAAATTTTCAAACACAACCTATATATAATATATTGTACATATGTATGTATGTATGTGTAATCATACACATATGAACAGGTGGGTTGTCATGCTTGACTTAAGAACTCTTGCAAACGCACATACATGCATCCATACATATCTACATACAAATATACGCAATCACTTCCATATTCTGCTCACATGTAGCACACTTACGGCCACTTTGGCCACACAACAGCAAACGTAATTTGCAGTGGCCAAACCCAAAGATAAGCAACGAAAAGTTTCGAAACCAAAGAAACGAGAATTCGCCACAAAGTAAAATAAACACAAGAAACCAAAGAAACAAATGAGCGAGAGTTTACAAGAAGCTCGTGTAAGAGTTCTTTTTAAAACAGTTTTATCATACAAATATTGTTGTTATGTAAAATGATGATTTTTTATGAAGTGAGATGACAACTTTACAATATCCTTAGAATTTTCTCAAGATTTCTTTTGTACTTTTTTGCATCCTAAACAAATTTAAGATGACACATGTAGCAATGTTGGCACAGCACAGTGGATTGTCCTTTGTTATGCATAAATCACCTCCACTGATCACATCATAAGAAATGAGCTTCGTCGGTGAAATTTTGACTGGGCTTTTGCTTGCTTGTACTCGTAGATGCAGGCAGCAACTAGTCGGCGCTCAGCAGATTAGTAAACGTGTTTAACAAATATTTTGTAGGCCTAAAAGAGATTCGGTATCATGATGGGTAAGAAGTTCATTACTGAGATTGGATTCGATTCTGGGTTGTCCTTGACTGAAGTTAAAATAGTACTTTATACTCCTTCAGATACTAAGTTAAGACCTTCTTGTTGAGAATTTTATTCAAATACTAGGTTCATTAAGCTCATTTGTCTTCGTAATGCTCAGTAATTGAAGTGCTTTTTCTCTCTAAGAACTGCGGTGATTTACCAAAAAACACTTTCCTTATTAAGGTTTGAGAATAAAGACCACTATTTTCTATCAAATTAGAGTTTATGTAAGAAGCTAATATTATAATATATGGTCCACTTAGCAAGATGCGCCAGTAACTATGTATTGAAATGTCAAAGTTATGTAACAAAAGTCAGTCGCCTCAATTTCCAGTCGTCCACGACTTCACAATTCAATCAGTATCACAATGTACGAGCATAAATCAAAAATCCGCGCAATCAAACAAAAGATTGGCAATAAATCGCAATTCATGGAAAGGCTTTGAACAAAGTCACAAACACTCGAACAATCGAGCATTCGAGCGTTCCGAAAACCCAATAAAAGTTTAGCAAATTGCAAATCGAAGTGGAGGAAGAGACAAAATCGGGCGCTCCTCAGTTGGAGGACAAACGGTGCGGGCTCATAATCATATCATCAGCGGCGAAAGCAACAACAATAGCAGCAGCAAATTGAGCCAAACAATAAAGACAATGACGACTAAGCAGCAACTTGAACTCGCCGCCGCCGATTATTGGCCATTCACAACACCAAATGCGATCGACAGTTATAAATTTGTTTGTCTAGCGAATGTGTGCGCCAACGGATATCGGCAAGATTTACGGTTTTTGGAAATTGATTTGCGTTTTTGGTGCAAATGTTGCGAAACTTGAAAGCCACCAATGAATTTTGTTTATTTCTCAGTTTCGGCGCTTAGATGCCGCTGCTTGCGTTCGCATGGTATGTTTACATGCATGACGGTTGTTGTTGTTGTTTCACATCTATATCAAATTGCAATACATTTCGTGTGGAAACATTAACTGCGGGTAGCAAAGCGTCACCACAAAACTTCCCGAACACGATGGCAGATACGGGTATTTGCGAATCTATGGGTCCATTTCCCAATTTAGCCGCTCGTCCGGCGCGCATTGACTGGATATTCAAGGAAATGTGCAACTAAAATGCATCTATACTCACACGTCAATAACAGTTATGTGCATACATACACACAACTACTAGTTTAAAGCTCAGCTGCGGCTTGTCGTTTGTGATCGCTAAGCGCAGAGCAGCTGCGGCAAGTTTGGCGGCAGCCTTTCACTTTCAAACGGCCAAAAAGAAAGAGCTGCTTAAAAATAATAAATGATGACTTTTTATTAATGCGTTTCTATGCGCTTGCATGTATGTGGATGTGTAGATGTGAATGTGTGTGGTCGGTAGCCCGAAAAAGTCGTGATATTAGCCGACCGAAAAGACACAACAACACAGACAAAGCCGGTAGAGCGAGCCAGCTAGGCAACCAAGTGGCCCGGCCGGCGGCAATAAATCTTACAGCAGTTAGTTTTTTCTCTGTTTTCCATTTTATTTGGCTTCATTGTTTTTGCTATTTTCGTCATTCATTCGGTTACCGAAAATTTAAATTAAAACACATTCGCTTCGTTACACACTCATACATTCCCGCTGCGACGCACTCAGGGCGGCCGGTGGTAACCGCCCCCCAACCTCCCACTTACGTCGTGTGGCCTTTGCTCGTTTGCATATTCACGATCACACACACACACACACACACTCAGGAACGAGCTCTGCCAAGGGGCAAAAAGAGAAAACAGGTTAATTCGCTTGTACGATTCCATTATTTTCATTTGTAAATTTTGTCTTGTGGACACTTGAACTCTTCCACAAGCGAAATAATTTATCGTGTGGCCCTCACTTGGCAACGAACGCAAAAAGTGCAGAAAGAAAAGTAAATGAAAGCAATTAAATTTCTTGCGAAATAGAGACAGTCATAAGTGTGAGCATTGCACATGGATATGTGTGTGTGTGTGACACATTCCGCAATTAGTATTTTTAAGTGGCGCTATACTAATTGTACCCACAGTATTTGTTCAGTTGAGAAATCGCCACTAATTTTCGAATTTTCGAAAACTCTTGTGAACCGTTTTGGTTGGTTTTGAAACGTTCAGAAGACAGCAACAAAGCCACAAAGCACCAAATTCCCAGATATGGTTTATTATGGCCGCCCATATACAAATACACTTTTATTTTTTTTGTTTTTGTTTTTTAATAATCGGCCGTTATTATTATGTGTTTGTTTTTGTTGTTGTTTCATTTGAATGATTATCGGCCAACATCGTATTTCACCGCTTATCGCATCATAAATTTCAGCTGATTAAGTAGTAACAAGTGTACAACAATAAAAACAATAACAAAACTCGACAGTAGGACAATTAATGTACGCACCATTGTTGTTGGTGGCTTCACAAAGTAGTATAACTGTCATTGCAACCGTTGTTGCTATCATTGTGGCGGCGGTGGATGTTGCCACCATTATCTTCTGCAGCGGCAAAGCGATACAAAGGCGGAAAAGTGTGAACATTCGCAACTCCCAACACACCAACACACACATACAGACGCATTTCAACAACACTTGCGATCGCGTTGCCACTCTTTATGTATTCATTAATGTTTTGTCATAATTCGCTGTTGCCGTTGCTGTTAATTTGCGTGTTTTTTGTTGAGCAATAAATTCATAGTCGCTGTCATAATTCGGTACAATTCATTGTTTGATTTATGCGACAGTCAGCTGTTGTCACCAATGACACACCGCGACCGCTGATGGCGGTGCCATCATCACTGACTCACTGGTCCACTGCTGTGGCTTGTTTTGTTGTTGTTGTTAGTATTGCTGTACTATACGCATTGTTGTTGTTAGTATTGCTGTACTATACGCATTGTTGTTGTTGTTGTTGTTGGCATTATTCGCGCCACTCGCGTTGTTATCGCTTTTCGTTATTGTTGCACGATGTAAATGTTTAATTGTTGTTGTTGTTGTTAAAACATTAACTGGATGTAAATACACCAGCATGTCTGTGTGTGTGTGTAATCTCTGGGTGTTAATCATAATACAATAATAAGCTTAAATTCACTTTGAATGCAAATTAA